TGCCCCTTTTTCAGTTTTTTACTGCTATCCTGGGGATTGAACCCAGGGCCTCCTACTGTGTTACAATCACAGCTTTTTTTTCCCCCCACAGCTTTTTGTTTTTATCTGAATTGCTAAGTTGTTCAGGCTGGGCTTGAACTTGCCTGTCTACTGCCGTAGCCTTCCAGAGTACTGAGATTATAGGAGTATTGCCATGACACTTGGCTTTTTAATTTTTTTTTTTTGTGTGTGTGTGGGGGGCAGTGTCTTGTTATATAGCTGGCCTCCAACTTGGAGTTCTCCTGCCTCAGCCTCCTGAGTAGCTGGTGTTATAGGTCTGTACCACCACACTTGGCTTTCTCTACCTTTCATCTTTTAGAATATAAGTCCTTAGAGAGCAAAGGTAGGATGTGGGTCTCTTTGATGTTGTCAAATGCTAGTACACGATCAGATTTTGAACACTGAAAACTGAGTATGGTTTTTCTGAAGTAGAGCAGGTTTTCAGTTAAGGCCTCCAGCCACCTGAGAATTGGAGGTTAATTGGTGAGCTGCTCCTACGTGGCCTGTTCACCTGAGAGTAATGACCTGGGTCGACGCAGGCCTGAGGTAATTTCAAACCAACACTAGTTTCCATTTGTGCTCTTCATCCAATCTACTCTGTGTTCAGTTATTCATGTGGTCCAATTACTTTGAGCTCTCAAGGGCCAGGGCCAGGGACTGAAGGGACAGCTCGCTATGTGTCGTGAAGTGGGCTGGATGCATACTTGTTCTGCATGTGGGTGTGGGCTGCAGAAATGATTACCAGCATTTTAGACATTCATCTTCCTGAAATGATAGTATGATTCATTTCTTCATGAAATGGCTTGATTTCCTGTTCAGTTTTAAACTTTGGAGGAGATATTTCATTACAAGTAGGACTGATTATTTTCCTGCCAATTAAAGATTTCCCTAAGGAATCATCTGTTTATCTGAAAAGATCTTTAAATAGCTCTGCCTTGTCCTGCATATAGTTCAATTTTTTTTCTCTCTAAAAGGACGTTAAGTAGGTTAACATTTCTGAACTGAAACCTCGTGAACTACAGTGCTTGGTACATGGCTTGCATGGCCTGTTTTTCTGGGTTTTTTTTTTTTATGTATTTAGTACAGGGTCTACAGGGTCTCATTATGTACATCAGACGTGTAATGATTCTCCTGTTTTCAGCCTCTCAAATGCTGGGATTACAGGCGTGCGCCACCATGCCCAGTCTCAATTGCTGCTTCAGTGTGCCCTGGGGGTGGGGCCAGCATGGCAAGCTGGGGATCAAACCCCAGCTGCTGCACTCTGCCTAAGCAGGCAGTTTAGTGTGCTGAGTTTTCTGGCCTGCCCATGCATAGCCTGTTTCATCAAGTGGCATCTCTCATTTTACAGAGATTTGTGGATTGACTTGTAGATAGTGGAGGGCTAGCTTCACTTAGAAAGTATTAGCAAAAAAATGAAGAGATGTGGAAATAATCAACCATTTAGAAACACTGATTAGGTTCCACATGTGTCTATTTATGACAGATGGAATTGCTGTGACAAGGAAGCAGCTTAATGTTGATACAGCTCAGTCATAGAGCACTTTCCTAGCACTTATCTAGGCTGAGGAAGGAGATATTTTAGTAAAAACTCCACCATTTTTTGTTTGAGTATTTACTGTAGAACTACAGAACCACATGTAGCTGCCTATATTTAATAACTGCAAATACTGTTTAACTCTCTGTGTGTGTATGGGCTCCAGGGATTGAAAACAGGCTTTGCATTGAGCTACATCTCCAGTCCTTTTTTGAGACCAAGATATTATGGAATTGCTAAATTTTCCAGGTTGCATGACTTAAGTTCAGGATCCTCCTGCCTCAGCTTCCCAGACTTCTGTCGTGAGCATGCCTGGCTCCCACGTATTTTCTCTTTCTTTCTTTCTTTCTTTCTTTCTTTTTTTTTTGCGGTACTGGGCCTTGAACTTAGGACCCTACACTTGCTAGGCAAGCACTTGTTCTGAGCTATCTCCCCAGCCCTCCATGTATTTTCTGAACAGAGGCTAATGGCTGTGTAAGAGGTTACCCCTGACTTAGGAGTGTAAAGCAAGTATTTCTTATTTTGCCATTTCTGTAGGCCAGGAGCTATGTTGCTGCTCCGCTTGCGGAGCTTGCTAGGGGCAGAGAATTCCTCCACTCACATTACTTTTGGCAGGCGTGAGCCCCTTGCACACACAGCCAGCACCTTGCTGACTGGTGTCTCTTCCTTTCAACCCCTTAGCGGGTTTCCTGAGTGTTTGCATGTCTCTGAACACTGGCTTCCCTTAAACCATGTGACCTGAGAGAATGAACCAGGGTGCATCTGAGATGACAGACATGGATGGTCCTTCCTCACCTAGGAGGGACACACAGTGGCTTGTGCTGTATGTTCTGCAATTAGTCACCTGGACCACGGTGGCCCAGGGTGTGAGGGTACTGACTACACAATGGTATGAATATTAGGAAATGGGTCACCGTCAGCCATCGCAGAGGCTGCCATAGTAGCTACAAAACCTCTGATGTGTCTATGTTCTGTGGAAAAATGTGAAAGAATGGGTGTGGTGGTGGCATAAGCCTGTACTGACACATGAGGCTGAGGCACAAGTGACTGTTGCAGCTCTGCAAGGCAATGTGGTCAGATACTGTCTGAAATCAGAAAGGGCTGGAGATATATCTTAGTGCAAAGACCTGGGTTCAATCCCATGTGCTGGGGGAAAAAGGTATCTAAGGGGTACATAATTTTATATTTTTTTAGGAATTCTTTTTAGAATGAGAAAAAAAAAATTGGAGGCTACTGATAAGACTGGCAGTCTTAACACTAGTCTGTGTCTGCACACTCCAGTGTCTCTCAACACTCTTCAGACTTTTTTTTCATGTTTTGTTCAGGGTCTCACCATGCAGCTCAGACTTGTTGTGATCTTCCTGTTCTCAGCCTCCCCAGCGCTGGGATTACAGACCTGTGCCACCATGCCTGGTCTCAGTGGCTGGCTCAGCATGCCCAGGATCGGGCTGGCACAGCATATGATGCCAGGGATCAAACCCTCTTCCTTCAGCTTGCCTAAGCAGGTGCTTAGTCTGCTGAGCTATCTTACCTGCCCTCTTCAGGCTCTTTGATCTCCACCATGGGGTGCTCTTTTAATGTAGGGACAGCTGATTAATGGAAGAAAATTGGAATAATTTAGTTCCTCATTTGTGAAAGGTAAAGATTACTTGAAATATGGACTGCCTCTAAATCCTAGGGCTTCTTGTTATGGACATTTTAAAAAAGAATTTCCTAAGCTGGGCGTGGTGATGGGCACATGCCTGTAATCCCAGCACTGAGAGGCCGAGGGAGGGCATGAGTCTGAGGCCAGCCTGGGCTCAAGAGTAAATTCAAGGGGTCGGGGAGATAGCTCAGTGGAATAAGCACTTGCCTGGCAAGCAAAAGGACCTGAGTTCAATCCCTGGTTCTGCAAAAAAAAAAAA